AAACAGTTGTTGGGATAGTGGCATTCTCTGACTTTAAAAAATTTATCTTTTGCTGAGCACTGTGGCACACAGCAGTAATTGCAGGGGCTCAGGAGGCTGAGTCAGGAGGATTGCAGGTTCAAAGCCAGCTTCAGCAACTTATTGAGGCCCTAAGCAACTAAGCAAGACCCTGTCTCAAAATTTAAAAAAAATTTAAAAAGGGTTGGGGATGTAGTTCAGAGGTTAAGTGCCCCTATACTGAATCCCTAGTACCCCCAAATTTATCTTTTTAATTTTATCATTTGAATATAAATATGCTATAAAAGTGGTCAGTGTTAAAGCATTTTAATTTTCCTAGAATTGACGAGATCACTTCTTTTCCAAATGTTCATTTGGGATAAACTAATTGCTGCCAAACTCATTCTCCCATTTTCTTTTTTTTGCCTAATGTAACTGTCACGGTTTTGTTCCTTGGCTTCTGTTTTTCTGGAATATCCCATTAGTAGCAATGACTCCTTTCTTTGAAACTCCCTTTTCTATATATTAATACTTCACCATCTGATTTACTGCAAACTATCATTTTCTGCCCTCAAAGTTAGCCTCCATATCATCATACTCTTCCTAAAGCATCAATTTTATTCTTCACTCTATTTAAAGTCAGAAAGAGCTAGGGATATAACTCAGTGCTAAAGACAAGAACTTGCTAGCATGTGTGAGGCCCTGGCTTTGATCCCCAGCAATGCAAACAAAACAAACCAAAGCAAAAACATAAAGATCCCTATGATTTTTTTTTAAAGGAGCCACATTTATCAGCACATTATTTATGATTTCCTATAATCTCATTGATTTATTCATGCAACTGGATTTCCCACTACTTTGCAACATAAATCTTGTGGATTAGTTTTATAAGTTACTCATATGAAATGATCTTTCTTTCTTTTTAAAAAATATTTTTTAGTTGTAGTTGGACAAATACCTTTATTTTATTCATTTATTTTTATGTGGTGCTGAGAATCAAACCCAGTGCCTCACACGTGCTAGGTGAGTGCTCTACCGCTGAGCCACAACCCCAGCTCCTCCCAACCCCCTCCCCGAAATGATCTTTCTTATTTGTGCTTTTTTTTTTTTTTTTTCCCTTATTGCTGGGGATTGAACAAGGGCCTTGCTCAGGCTATTCAAGTACTCTGCCACTGAGCTATATCTCGAGCCCTCTTATTTAGCTTTCTCTATCGTTCCTTTTCCCTCAAAACATGCTTTTTTCTTCTACTGCCTTTCCAAGTTCTCCCCATTTTGCTGAATTCAGTTTAGACTTCTCCCTTCACAGGATTTCTGAAGTTGACAGACTTGATCAATCTCTTTTCAAAATCACTTGGTATTTAAGCATTTATTACATTTTATATTATACTTTGTCATTATCTTATTCTGTATATATTATAAGGTTTTTGCCTAACAAAATTATTTTTTTTAAACAGCAACATTTACATCCTAACATTTATTCTAACCCCTCACTAAACATAGTAAACTTTCAAGAAATACTTTGTGATCAAAATAGTATTGTTGACCAAATATAGATAACAAAGGTTAGATCAGTTAAAGAAAATAGCACTCTTTTTTTTGGGGGGGGGTACTGGAATTGAACTCAGAGATGCTTAACCACTGAGCCACATCCCCACCCCTTTTTATATTTTATTTAGAGACAGAGTCTTGCTAAGTTGCTTCTGGTCTCACTAAGTTGCTGAGGCTTGCTTTGAACTTGCAGTCCTCCTGCTTCAGCCTCCTGAGCTGCTGGGATTACGGCCGTGCAGGCAAAAAATAGCTCTCTTAAGAGATTTTTTATATATCTACAATTGATACTTTCTGAAGATACTTCTTTAGAAACTCAAACTCAATCTTTTTTTTTTTTTTAATGGTACTGGGAATTGAACTCAGGGGCACTCAACCACTGAGCCACATCCCCAGCCCAGTTTTGTATTTTATTTAGAGACAGGGTCTCACTGAATTACTTAGTGCCTCGATAAATTGCGGAGGCTGGCTTTGAACTTGTGATCCTCTTGCCTCTGCCTCCCAGCAGCTGGGATTATAGGCATGGGTCACCACGCCCAGCCTCACACTCAGTCTTTTAAAAATATGATTTTAGGGGCTGGTTATGTAACTCAGTGATAATGTATGTGTAGCATGCACAAGACTCTGTGTTTGATCCCTAGCACATGCATGTGTATATACATCTACATATACACAATTGTCTCTTAAAAATATATCTGGTTCTCTTATTATGTATTAGTTATGTAATGCTATATAACATATCACTCCAACATTTTAGTGACTTCAATCAGTAAACATGTATTTATCTCACAAAACCTGTAGATCAGGAATTTGGGTTAGGTTTAGCTAGGTTGCCCTAATTCAGGGTATAGCAGGGAGTTCCAGTCAAGGTGTTGACCAGGGCTGCAGGTTCAAATGAAGGTACAGCTTAGGAGAATCGTCTTCTAATCATTTACACAGTTGTTGACAAGATATAGTTCCCCATGGGTTGTTGGACTGAGGTCCTTAGTTCTTTCCTGGCTATTGACTAAAAATGTCCCCAGGTCCTTGCCATAGGAGCAGCTCATGGCAGCTGTTCCTTCTCAGGTGAAAGAACAGAACTACAAAAGCTACAATATTTTATATTCTAATTTTTAATGAAACAACTCATTTCTTCTGCCATTTTTTAAAAATATATTTTTTAATTGTAGATGGACACAATACCTTCATTTTATTTTTTATGTGGTGCTGAGGATCAAATCCAGTGCCCCACACATGCTAGGCAAGCACTCTACCATTGAGCTACAGCCCTAGCCCTCTTCTGTCATTTTATTTATTAGAATTGAGTTAGTAAATTCATTCTATGCTCAGGGAAAGAGGATTATACAAAGAAGCTGGAAAATATAACTCATCAGTAGAGTACTTGTATTGCATGTACAAGGCCTTGGGTTCTATGATCCCCAGCCTAGTGGGAGGAAAAAATAGTGGTAGAATATCAGGAGGTTGGAGATCATTGAGGCCCATCTTAGAGGTTGTTTTCCTTAACTAGGCTCTTCTTTTATCCACTAGAAACTTTGGCCTCTGGAAAAAAAGAGTTACTTATCTGAGTCTTTCCCAGTAATCATTCTCTTTGCACCTAAACTTTAGTCTATGGTAACATGTCCAGGATTATTTCATGCTATTTTATATAATGCTCTGAATCCTGGCCCTACTATGGTGATATTCAGGAGAACATGCAGTCTCTTATCAAAATAAACATTGAATCCAAATGAAATATAGGATTCAAATATAACATTTTTGTTCCAGTTATTTGAATAAATAAGATATAGCATATGCTCAAAATAAAGCATATTTTCAATTAAATCTTTTTCTTTTAAAGTTTTTTTTAACCTTTATTTTATTTATGTGGTGCTGAGGATCAAACCCAATGCCTTACACATGCTAGACAAGAGCTCTACCACTGTGTTACAACCACAGCCCCTTCAATTAAATCTGTCAAAACCTCAACATGGGGTGGTTGTGGTTCAGTGGTAGAGTGCATGCCTGGCACGTGTGAAGCACTAGGTTTGATCCTCAGCACCTTATAAAAATAAGTAAATAAAGTAAAAGTATTATTCATCTACAACTACAAAAAAAATTTTAAATAAAAAAATAAATTAAAAAAACAAAACAAAACTCAACATGAAGTTGGGGATGTAGCTCAGTGGTACAGCTTAGGAGACATTCATGAAAGCCCTGCATGGGGCTTTATTTCCAGCATTGCCAAAAAGCAATACACATAATGTGCTGTGTAAAGACTCAAAAACATTTTTTGTAAATTGACTTACTTATACATGTCCATCAACCAATTAATTTAATGCTTTTGGAGTCCTTCTACATATGCAGAATGAAATCATTGTTGGTTAGACTTTACTATCTTAAAGTTCTAATTGAAAACACACAAATAATATATTAATGTTCATAGGAATTCTTTTGTGATCAGAGTTGGAAAGTTTAACACAATACTTGATGAAGTCTTTAAAAGTTTATTTTGACTTAGAAAAATAAAGGTTATATTAAAGCAATTTTATTAGCTTGTTAGCAGTTTGGGAGGTTGGGTTAGAACTAGTTCAATATCTCAATGTTTCTTTCAAAACAAATAAGGTAAATGAAAAATTTAAACATTAAAAAGAGACAAGTGCTGGGCAAGTGCTCATGCCTATAATACCAGCAACTCAGGAAGCTGAGGCAGGAGGATCAAGTTCAAGGCCCAGCCTCATCAACTTAGTGAGACCATACCTCAAATTTTTAAAAAGGGCTGGAGATATGACTTAGTAGTAAGTAGGGCGCTCCTGAGTTCAATTCCCCAGACAATCAAAAAATTTAAAAATAATATTTTTTGTTGTGCACCTGTAATCTCAGCAACCTGGGAGGCTGAAGCAGGAGGATCACAAATATAAGGCCTCAGCAGTTTAATGAGGCTATAAGCAATTTAGTGAGAGCCTTTCAAAATAAACAATAAAACTGGTTGGAGATAATGCTCTGTGATAAATTTCCCCTGGGGTCAGTCTCCAGTTCATGAGGATGTGTAGTGGGGTAAGGAGTGAGACCAAATTAAAATACATATTTTTAAATATCCATTTTTTAATGCAAAAAAATTTTGGTTTTTCTGAGTTTTGGATATTTAACATACTTATAACACCCACTGTTAATGAAATAATTAGAGGAATATTTGATTGATAGCAATAGAAGTTGTTACAATGTTTGGGAGTAGTAATATATAAAGAAACTCAAATGTATTATAAAATGGGAGATAAGAAAAATTTAATGGTGTGTTTAAGTACATTGAAAAAAAAATCTGAGGATAGCAAACAGTTATTGCTTTTCTCTGTATAGAATTGAGGGGTCAACATTTATATCCTCTATTGATCCAGTGTTTAAAAATTTATAATTGAAAACTTAATTTTATAAACAAAAAAATTAACATTTAAAAAGGCAATTTCACAATTTTGTTTTTACAGGAGATTACATGCTTGATTCGAAGCCAAAAGAAATTTCAGAAATTCAACGTTTAAATTATGAACAGGTAATAAATGTGACTTTTATTATATTAAGATATTTAATTTTTATGTTATGAATATATTCATTGTTTTCTCTAGCAGTGACTTGCAGTCTTTTCTATAAAAGACTAAATAGTAAAAATTTTAGGTTTTTATAGTAAATGTTTAATAGTAAAATTTTGCAGGCCAAATATGGTCAGTGTCTGTCGCATATTCTTTGTTTTCTTTTTTCCTTACCCTTTAAATATGTAAGAACCCTTAGTGCACAGTCAGATTTGGCCCATAGGCCATACTTAAGATTCCTGGTTTCTGTGAATACATATGCTATAGAGGATGACATGTCAATACTAGATGAGAGGGGAATAATAACCTGGTAATATTTTGAAAAACTGACTTTCACATATATGTGTCATTTCCTTTGCTTATATTTATTTTTCAATTATGTTTTTCTTTTTCTGTTCTTTCTTTTTTTCTTTTCTTTTTTCAGTGCTGAGAATCAAACCCAGGGCCTCCCAAGTATTCTAGACAGGCACTGTACCACTTAACTATACCCAAGTTTTGTTTAGGAGAAAGTTGAGCAAGTAATGTTTCTGGTATGTCATTAGGACACATTTTGCTGCTTTGTAGTTTCAATATGTCCACATTTCTTGTTATGTTCTTTAGAGATCCTGTTCTTTACTAGGTTCAAAATCATTAGAGCTGGAAGAAAGCAAGCAGACTTTGTTTTCCTCTGTATTCCACTTTACTTGGAAAGAGAATGAGGAAAAAATTGCTTCATTTAGTGGGAGGAAGTCTCAACCAGGGAAGAAATAAACATTACTAGAACCTTCTTAATCACTTTTTAAAAAATATTTTTTGTTTTAGTTGTAGATGGACAAAATACCTTTATTTTATTTGTTTATTTTTATGTGGGGCTGAGGATCAAACCCAGGGCCTCACATGTGCAGGGCAAGTGCTCCACCACTGAGCTACAACCCCAACCCTGCTTACTCACTTTTTTTTTGTTTGTTTGTTTATAGACCTTTACTTTATTTATTTATATGTGCTGCTGAGAATTGAACCCAGTGCCTCACACATGCCAGGGAAGTGTGCTACCACTGAGCCACCCCTCCCGCCCCCCTGTTTACTCACTTTAAAAGTATATTTTTAAATATACTTTCATTAGTTAAAAAGAAAGCAAAATCTATTTCAGTATTGCAAAATTTTTTGGATTTTAATGTTCAGATAATTTTGTCCTAATAGAATTGAAAAGTCAACATCTTGAATTTCATTGTTATCCAAGATAGGAAATCTATATCTAAAGCCAAATAAATTTGTATGCCAAGTAATTTGAATTTTGTTAGGAGAGAGCTGTGGAATTAGCTCATTGAAGCCCTAAGTTCAGTCCTCAGCACTGACCCCACCAAAAAACTTTTTGGAATAATTTGTAGTTTAAAGCAATGATTTCCAAACATTTTTAGGAATAGAAACCATTTGTCAAGTGAAATCTTTTTTTTTTTTTTTTTTTAATACAGGGGTTGATCTCAGGGGTGCTTTACCACTGAACTATATCCCCAGCCCTTTTTATGTTTTTTAAATTTTTTTAAGCTTTCTTTCTTTCTTTCTTTTATTAAATATTTATTTTTTACGTGTAGTTGGACACAATGCCTTTATTTTATTTACTTATTTTTATGTGGTGCTGAGGATCGAACCCAGGGCCTCTCACATGATAGGCAAGCGCTCTACCACTCAGCCACAGCTCCAGCCCCAAAAGCTTTCTTTTTTTAAAGAAATAACTTTATTTCATTTATTTATCTTTTCATGTGGTGCTAAGGAATTGAACCCAGTGCCTCCCATGTCGTAGGCAAGCGCTCTACCACTGAGCTACCACCCCATCCCCTTTTTATTTATTAATTTTCAGACAGGATCTTGCTAAGTTGCTTAGGGCCTAAGTTTCTGAAGCTGGCCTTGAACTTGTGATCCTCCTACCTCAATCTCCCAAGTTGCTGTGATTATAGGTGTGTGCAGTCCACCCAGCTCAAATGAAATATTATTTATATAAGCCCCTAATATATAAAACCAGTAAATGATACTTTATAAGTATAAGATTATAAGGTTTAATTTATATAATTGATTTATCAAATTTATATAATTTCTTATTGAAATCAGGCTTTTCAATTAATGACAGATTTAAAATTAGAAATTATGAATGATGATTGCAGTTTTCTGTCAACCTCTGAATTCATTTTACTTCTGTTTCACATTCTTGAGAAATGATTAACAGATGTTTTCGAATGATATTAGCATTTTGTTTAAGTTCATCTTGCAGTCAGTCTCAGGATACACTTTCATTACAATGATTTAGACTCTTAAAGAGTGGTTGGAAGTTTTGTCTCGTAGTTGAGAGAAACAATATTTAACAATTGCTTGCATTTCCTAAAACTATCAGGCCAAAAGTACTCTTCACTTAAAATAAGCACTAAAAGTATTTATGAGGTTATTATTACACTACTATTAGTTTTGAGAATAGTATGAACCAAGCTGATATGCTGAATCTAAACTAGTGTTTAATGTTCTACAGGCATGAGGTAATAGTGTTCTTTTTTTGTAATTTTATATGAGCAGATATGGTCAAACCTTAATTTTAGAAAAGCCAATGCAGAGCTGCCATCTTCCCAAGTTTTAACTTTTTACTAGAAGATGTAAATAAACAACATGTTTTTTCAGTTTAATTTAATGTTAAACACCATCATAGTACAAGAAAACATGATATGCATGTCAACAAATTTTTAAATAACTGCAAAGACTTTTTTTAAATTTTTATTTTTTATTAGTTGCTCAAGACAATACAATGATCTTGACATATCATACATTTGATTCAAATGGGGTGTGAATTCTCATTTTTCCACGTGTACAAATTGCAGGATCACGTTGGTTATACAGCCACATATATACATACAGCAATACTAGTGTCTGTTGTATTCTGCTGCCCTCCCTATCCTCCCCTCCCCTGCCCTCCCCTCCCCTCCCCTCCCATCACTTCTCTCTACCCAATCTACTGTGACACATTTCTCTCTCTCTCTTTTTCCTTCCCCATCACACCATCATATATGTATATTGTATAACAATGAGGGTCTCCTTCCATCTTCCCTGCAATTCCCCTTCTCCCTCCCATTCCCTCCCACCTCTCTTCCCTGTTTAGTGGTAATCTTCTTCTCATGCTCTTCCTCCCTACTCTGTTTTGAGTCACCTCCCTTATATCAGAGAAGACATTCAGCATTTGTTTTTTAGGGCTTGGCTAACTTCACTTAGCATAATCTGCTCTAATGCCATCCATTTCCCTGCAAATGCTATGATTTTGTTATTTTTTAGTGCTGAGTAATATTCCATTGTGTATAAATGCCACATTTTTTTTTATCCATTCATCTATTGAAGGGCATCTAGGTTGGTTCCACAGTCTAGCTATTGTGAATTGTGCTGCTATGAACATTGATGTAGCTGTGTCCCTGTAGTATGCTCTTTTTAAGTCTTTTGGGTATAGTCCAAGAAGGGGAATAGCTGGGTCAAATGGTGGTTCCATTCCCAGCTTTCCAAGGAATTTTCATACTGCCCTCCAAATTGGCTGCACCAATTTGCAGCCCCACCAGCAATGTATGAGTGTACCTTCCCCCCCCTCCCCCACATCCTTGCCAGCACTTATTGTTGTTTAACTTCATAATGGCTGCGATTCTTATTGGAGTGAGATGGTATCTTAGAGTGGTTTTGATTTGCATTTCTCTGATTGCTAGCAATGGTGAGCATTTTTTCGTGTATTTGTTAATTGATTGTATATCCTCTTCTGAGAAGTCTCTGTTCAGGTCCTTGGTCCATTTGTCGATTGGGTTATTTGTTTTTTTGTTGTTTAACTTTTTGAGTTCTTTGTATATCCTAGAGATTAGTGTTCTGTCTGAAGTGTGAGGGGTAAAAATTTGTTCCCAGGATGTAGGCTCCCTATTTACCTCACTTATTATTTCTCTTGCTGAGAAAAAACTTTTTAGTTTTTCTCATTTGTTGATTCTTGATTTTAACTCTTGTGCTATAGGTGTCCTATTAAGGAATTTGGAGCCCGACCCCACGAGATGGAGATTAGGGCCAACTTTTTCTTAAATTTAAAATATTTCCTCATTTTAGAAATACCTTGGGGAAGAGTTCTAAGAAACAGTTTAACCACTATCTTAAAGGATCCAGTAGTAATTTTTTTTATGATGTAAGCAATCATCCCTCAAATTTATATTTTATAATATTAATTATCATTGTGGAATTAGGAACCAGGTGACAAAAGATTTATCCCTCTTAATCCTTTGTTTATACATTTATTTTGTATCAGTTTTATAAATCTCTATAAAGATAATAAAACTATCAAATAGTACTATCAAATACTATTCAGTTATTTTAATACTAAATAACCATAATAAACATAGCAAGTATATGAAGAAATAAGCATGAGCTCAGGAACCATGAGAAATTACACTATCCCCTACCAGGCATGGTGGCACCTGCCTTTAATTCCAGCTACTTAGGAAGCTGAGACAGGTGAGGACAGCCTGGACAATTTAGGAAGACCTTATCTCAAAAATAAAAAATAAAAAGGGATGGGGATGTAGCTCAGTGATAGACCACCCCTGGGTTGAATCCCTACTGCCACAAGGAAAAAGAGAGAGAGAGAGAGAGAGAGAGAGAGAGAGAGAGAGAGAGAGAGAAGTAAAAGTAAAGAAATTATAATGTCCCCAAAGGAAGGTGGGTGATTAGCAGCCAAGAATTTAACAAAAATAGAAGAAAAATTTGGTGATAGAATTACAATCCTTAGCTTGCTCAATAATGTTCACATTTTTTTCAGATTCATAATTGTTGTGGCTTTAGAAAAGGTTTTACAACACTTAAGGGAAAAATGTGAACTGAATGTTTTTAAGAGTTAACTTTTGGGAAGACTGAGAAAATATATTGTTTTAGGGTACTGTGAAGATAAAGTGTTATCCACTGTAAAAACAGTGTTATCCTATTTATAAAAATGTGTCATTTATACATTTAAAACATTTTACTAATTTGTTTGCAGTCTGTACAGTTTCTTAAAATGGGATTTAATAAGTTATTTGGTAAAACCAGAACATTAATTTTATGACCTAAAATTTGCCTTCTTTAAATTCCAGAGATGCTCCCTAATTTGTTGTTGTTGTTGTTTGGCACCAGGAATTGAACCCAAGGGTGCTTAACCACTGAGATACATCCCCAACCCTTTTTTATTTTTTGAGACAAGGTCTTATTAAGTTGCTTAGGTCCCATTAATAAGTTGCTGAGGCTGGCTTTGAACTCATGACTCTTCTGCTTCAGCCTCCCAAATTGCTAGGATTAGAGGTGTGTGCCACCACACCCAGCCCTACTTTTAATATAAGAAAGGTTTATTTCATATTTATCCTTTCTACTATAAGCCCCTCCAGTAGTCCTATTTTATATCTACTTAAATACTACTACTTTTATGTCTTCTAGCATACTGTCTGATAAGCTGTAGAGATTCTGTAAAAGTTTATTAAATTTTATATATTTTTAAAATTTTTTTCTATCAAATATGTTCTCCATACAGATATTCATATTTATTTTATTAAAATGTTTAGAAAAAATGTTTTAAAATTGTCTTCATTACTGACTTACATGATCACATTTACTGAGAACTGTGGACAGAATGACCCCTTAATTTGGGCAGTAAGTCTCTGATCCACTTTCTGCCTGGCTCTCAGACTTCATCTCTACAACTTTTCATCTCATTTATTTTAATCTAGCATTATTGGACTCCTATGCTGTAATAAATTCATTTCTGCATCAGAATTTGTGCACTGTCCACTTTGTCTAGAATGGTCTTTTCCAAGGGCTTCCCAAGACTTTCACTTTAGTTTCTATTTAACTTATCATTTTTTAAGAAGCCTTCCTGTTTTCCTTTAGATTCAAGGCATTCACTGCAAAATTGTGGGGAAAGAGTAGGGAATTTCCATGTACCTCCTGTACTTCCATATACCTCATGTACAGCGTCCCCCACTATCAGCATCCCATCAGAGTTGTACATTTGTTATATCATTAATGCACCATTGTCACCCAAAGTTCATGGCATAGTTGTATTCACTTTTGGAACTATACATTCTTTGTGTTTTGAGAAATGTATGATGACATGTGTTCACCATTATGATATCATACAGAATATTTTCACTATCCTAAAAATCTTCTGTGCTTTGCCTATTTATCCCTTTCTCTCCCTAAAATCCCTCACAACCACTGATTTTTACTATCTGTAGACTTGCCATTTCCAGAGTGTCATTTGAAATCATACCATTTGTAATATTTGCAGATTGACTTTTTTCACTTAGTAAAATAATTTGTTTCTTCCATGACTTTTCATGACTTAATAGCTTATTAAAAAAACAAAAATTTCAAAAATTTATATTATGAAATTTATCCTTTTGGTCATTTTTAATTATACAGTTTAATAATGTCAGTTATACTCAGCATTGTGTAAAGGATCTTTTTCATCTTGTGAAACTGAAATTTTATACTCATTGAACAACAACAATTCTCCATTTCTCATCCCCTCAAGTCCCTGGAAACCACCATTTTACTCGTTTTTATGATTTTTTTTATTACTGTAGATACCCCATTTAAATGGAGTTATAAGGTATTTGTACTTTTGTGACTGGCTTATTTCATTCCTCATAATGTCCTCAAGGTTCAGCCATGTTGTAGCATTTGACAGAATTTTTCATCTTTTTTTAATGCTGAATAATATTCCACTGTATGTATATATCACTTTTTCTTTATCCATTCATCAGACAGCGGGCATTAGGACACTTCCAATTCCCTTTTTTTTTTTTTTTTTTAATTATTTAAACCGGGGATTGGACACCAAGCCACATCCCAGGCCTTTTTATATTTTGTTTAGCGACATGACATGGTCTCAGTAAGTTGCTTAGGGCCTCACTAAATTGCTGAGGCTCGCTTTGAACTTACCATCCTCCTGCATCAGCTTCCTGAGCCTCTGGGGTTACAGGTGTCATGCCCAGCCCCACTTCTTAACTATTGAGAATATGTTGTAATGAATATGGGTCTGCAAATATCTTTTTATGTGTGTGTATGTGATACTGGGAATGGAACCCAGGGTCTTGCATATACTAGGCAAGTAGTCTGCTACTGAGCTATTTTATTTTATTTTATGTTTTGGTACTGGGGATTGAACTCAAAGGCACTCAACCACTAAGCCACATCCCTAGCCCTAATTTGTATTTTATTTAGAGACAGGGTCTCACTGAGTTGCTTAGGGCTTGCTTCATTGTTGCTGAGGCTGGCTTTGAACTCATAATCCTCCTGTTTCAGCCTCCTGAGTCACTCAGATTACAGGCATGTGTCACTGCGCCCGGCAAGCTATTTTATTTTTCAGACAGGGTCTCACTAAATTGTCTAGGTTAGCTTGAATTTGCAATCTTTCTGCCTCAGTCTTCAAAGTACCTGGAATTACAGGTGGTACAACCACACCTGGCTGACTTTAGAAATTGTTTGGTTTGTTGTTGTTTTTCCAGTAACAGAGCTAGAACCCAGGGATGTTCTACCTCTGAGTACAACCCCAACCCTTATTTTTAATTTTGAGACAGGGTTTTGCTAAGTTGCTGAGGCTATCCTTGAATGTTTGATCTTTCTGCCTTAGTCGCCTGAGACACTGGGATTACATAGAAATTCTTTTTACTTTAAACTTTCACATCTAAAATAGTTCCTTCACCCCTTCCACTCTGTACAACCTCAGACTACTCAATTTTTCTTACTAACACTTGACATTGTACTGTAAATTTACATGTTTAGAATGTTAGTTACATAAGAACAAAATTTTGTTTTATTCACCATTGTATCTTTGGAACTCATGAATGTCTGGAACATAATAGGTACTTAGTAATAAAAATCTATTGAAGAGGGGCTGGGGTTGTGGCTCAGTGGTAGAACGCTCACCTCGCACTTAAGAGACCCTGGATTCAATCCTCAGCACCACATAAAAATAAACAAAATAAAGATATTGTGACCATGTATAACTAAAAAAATATTTTAAAAAATCTATTGAAAAGCTGAATAAATTGGATAAAATGGAAAATTTGTTTTTAAAAATTAAACAGACAACCGAGTCTTCCTGTTTATCCAGGTTGGCCCCAAACTCCTGTGCTCAAGGAGTTCTCCTGCCTCAATTGCCTGAATAGCTGGGACCACAGGGGTATGCTATTTTAGTTGCTTTTGTTTTTATTTTTCTAAACTATATCTTTCCCCCTTTTTATTTTCAGAATATGAGTGATGCTATGGCAATTTTACACAAACTTCAGACAGGCCTGGATGTAAATGTCAGATTCACTGGTGTTCGAGTATTTGAATATACACCGGAATGCATAGTGTTTGATCTTCTTGATATTCCCTTGTACCATGGGTGGTTAGTGGACCCTCAGGTAAGTAGAAGAATTTAAATTATATACATATAAATATGTAAAATATTAATTTTACAAATTAATCTTAATTTATATTTTCTGATGCTTATATTTTTGTGCTTTGATCCAGAATAAGCCAAATCTTGAGGTGAAGGGCATAGACTTCCAAACTATCAAATACCAAAGTCTGCCCAGATTTCTGATCCCACTCACAAGGAGTTAGGATCTAACTCCAGAGTTAGACAAATTGTCCCCACAGGATTATCCTCACCTCTCACACCTACCACAAGTTCAGAGGTTTCCCAAGAGTACTCTCAGGTTTAATAATTTTCTAGAAGGATTCCCAAAGTCTGTCCTGGGTTGTGGCTCAGCAGTAGAGCACTCGCCTAGCATATGTGAGGCCCTGGGTTTCATCCTTAGCACCACATATAAATAAATAAAATAAAGGTATTGTGTCCACCTAACTAAAAAAAAAAAAAGCACTGAGTTTAAAAAAAAAGATTCCCAGAGTCCACTGAACCTATGAAACTTACTGTTACAGGGAAAAGATATAGGTCAGCCAAGAAAAGAACTGCACAGGGCAAAAACTGGGAAGATTCCAAAAAAGCCTCTGTTGTCCTCCAGACATGTTATCTTTTTGAAATTGATATATGACAATATACATGGAATGTTGCCAATCCTGGCCTTCAATGTTAAATTTTTTTATTGAGATTTTATTGCATAAACATGATTGATTGATTGCCCATATGGTTGAATTTAGTCTCCAGCTCTTCCTTTCCAGTGGGCTAAACTGACACCATAGTGTTCATGGGATCCCCATGAGTCACCTCATTAATATAAACTGCAGGGATGGTCCAGGGGACCCATCTCAAATTACAAAGTTTCTCCTATTACTAAGAAAATTCCAAGGGTTTAGAATTTGTTTCCAGGAGACAAACTTCTGGCGTTTGTAAGGTCAGAACTCTCTTTGAGCAAGACCATATTCTTTAATGTACAGCTTTGAAAAGAGATTTTTTTAAAATATATATATATATATATTTAGTTGTAGATGGACACAATACCTTTATTTTATTTGTTTTTATTTTTATGTGGTGCCAGGGATTGAACCCAGTGCCTTACACATGTTAGGCAAGCACTCTACCACTGAGCCACAACCCTGGCACCTGAAAGAGATTTTTTTAGATCATCCCAACATTTATTTTAAAAGCTGTTTCATATTCCCATCATTCTTTTTTTTTTTAATAATATCTTTGTTTTATTTTTATATGGTGCTGAGGATCGAACCTACTGTCTCACACTTGCAAGGCAAGTGCTCTCCCTCTGAGCCACAATCCCAGCCTTTCATATTCCCGTCATTCTAACTGTTCATTTCTAAATATGCAGAGAACCTTGATATTTACTAGTTCAGCATTCCAGATTGTGCTTCTTAGCAAGTACATCAGGACCCTGATATGAAGTAGATGACACATTCAAGGATAATTGACAGAAGTTTAAGGAAGAGAGTATATTTATTTATAACGATGTGGTCAAAGTTGGGGAAACAAGTGAGGGATAATGAAGCATTGTAGAGTTAACAAGAGCCAAAAACTATTGCTACCCTTAACTCTGAAGAGACTAGGAAAGGATGTAATTAGTAGAACTCAGCCAGACCAATTGTTGAAACATAGGTCTCGAGCTGTGGCCCAGCAGGGGAAGGGTGAAGGTAATACTTAACTCTTTTTTTTTTTTAATTTTTTTATTTGTTTTAATTAGTTACACATGACAGTACAATGACCTTGACATTGACTCTCTCTGATTTCCTCCAATATCTCTCATTGGCCAATTGTCTGGTAACTGGAGAGTAAGAATTCCAGTTGCTTTAATCTGTAGAGATTGACCTCTTGGCCTGAGGATATAGCTCATAATAGAGCACTTACTAGCCTAAGTGAAGCCCTGGTGCAATCCCCAGTACCACACCAAAAAAAAAGAAACAATTTCTTTATTATATACTAAATTTTTCTATAGGCTTAGTCTTCTCTAGTCATTCCTTTAATCTGTCTTCTTTCTACTCCTATACTATTTTACTATTTTATAGTTTATTTTTATAATTTTTAAATATAAGGTAAAAAAATGTCAAAATATTGTTTATTTGTGAACTTTAAAGAGAAAAAAAAAGGAGGAGTAGTCACAGCAGATGGGGTCTCACTAAGTTGCTTGAGTGTCTTGCTGAGTTGCTAAGGCTGGCCTTGAATTTGCAATCTTTTTGCCTCAGCCTCTCAAGTCATTGGGATTATAGGTGTGTGCCACTTTGCCCCACTACCTTTTATTATTATTATCATTTTTTTTTGAGAATTTTAATATTTATTTTTTAGTTTTCAGCGGACACAACATCTTTGTATGTGGTGCTGAGGATCGAACCCAGGCCGCACGCATGCCAGGCGAGCGCGATACCGCTTGAGCCACACCTGCAGCCCTATTATTATCATTATTATTAAACATTTAATTTTGAGATAATTGTGGATCCACATGCAGTTATAAGAAATAATGCAGGGCAATTCATTGAACCTTTACCTAGTTTCTACTTTGCAATTTTACTTAAGTAAAATATCAAAACCAGGAAAATGATATTAACAAAGTGAAATACAGAACCACCACCATAAAAATCTTGCCTGTTGCCCTTTTATAGCCACACCTACTTTTCTCCCACCTTCACCTTCTTCATCCTTGGCAACCACTAACCTGTTCTCCACTTCTATAATCTTGTTATTCAACAATAGTATATAAATAAAACAATATGGTATGTAATCTTTTATGATTGCCTTTTTTTTTTAACTCATCTCTGGAGCATCAGGTAGTTGTATGTATTAATATTTTGTTCCTTTTTATTACTGAATAGTATTCCATGGTGTGGTTATGACACTTTAACTATTTACCTGTCAAACTATTTACCTGTTTGTTTTTCTGTTTCTGGCTATTAAAAATAAAGCTGCTATAGCTGGGGTTGTGGCTCAGTGGTAGAGTGCTCACCTAGCACCACATAAAAATAAATAAATAAAATAAAAGTATTGTATCCAACTACACCTAAAAAAAAAATGTTTTTTGTTTTTTTTTTAAAGAATAAAGCTGCTGTAAACATTTGTGTGCAAGTTTTTGTTTTAATTTCTCTGGATTAAACGTCCAGATGCACAACTGCTAGACCATATGGTAGTGATATGTGTGTGTGTGTGTGTGTGTGTGTGTGTGTGTATGTTTGTATGTGTGTATGTGTGTAGGAGTCTGCCAAACTATTAATTAGCATGTCTGTACCAAAAAGTGTATATTCCCACCAATAGTATCTGAGTGACCCAGTTTCTCTGCATCCTTGTCAGCATTTGACATTGTCACTATTTTTTATTTTAGACATTGTTATGTAATCATGTTTCATTACTTTTCAGTTGCCTGTCTTTAATCACTAATGATATTGGGAATCTTTTCTTGTGTGCTTGTTTGCTGTTCAGATCTCTTCTTCAATAAAATATCTCTTCATTTCTTTTTCCCATTTTCTAATTAGATTGGTTCTGTTCAGTTGAGCTTTGAGGTTTCTTTATATATTCCAGACACTAATTCTTTGTCAGATGTGTGTTTCACAAATATTTTCTCCTAGCCTAAAACTTGTTTTTTCATAATCTCAGGAAGATCTTCACAGAGCATAATTTTTTAATTTCAGTAGAGTTCAGTGTATCTGTTTTTGTCTTTTATGTCTCATGCTTTAGTGTTAAGTCTAAGAATTCCCTAGCTCTAGATCCTAAATATTCTCTCATATGCTTTTTATCCTAAATATTATATAGTTTTGGGCTTTACACAAAGTCCATGATTCATTTTGAGTTAATTTTGTATGAGGTATAAAACTTTGGGTTATTTTATTTTTTTTATCTATGGATGTCTACTTGCTCTAGCACCAGTTGGTATGCACCTACCACCTCAAGCAATTTTATAACACTTTTATCATCCCCAGAAGAAGCCCTTTCCTGTTAGCAATCATTCTCCATTCCCCTCAACCTTCCCATTATATTTTCTGTCTAAAGATTTGGCTATTCTGAACATTTTATATAAATTAAGATATATAATATTTGGTCTTTTGCAATTAACTTCTTTCAAAGTGACTGCACCTTTTTATACTCCCACCAGCAGTGTGTGAATGTTCTGTTTTCCACATCCTCATCAACACTTCTTAATTATCTCTCTTTTTTATTAAAACCATTCTGGCAGGTGTAGAATCATATCTCATTGTGGTTTTATTCATGTTTCTCATCTAATGATGTTGAACATATTTTCGTGGGCTTATTAGCCATTTGTATATCTCCTTTGGAGAAACATCTGTTTAGATCCTTTGCCTATTTTAAATTGTTATTAGTCTTTTGTTATTAGTTACAAGAGTTCTTGTTACATTTTCACTACAACCCCTTATCAGATATATATTTGGAAATATTTTCTGCCATTCTATGGGTTGTCTTTTTATTTTCTTCATGGTATCCTTGGAAATACAAAAGGTTTTATTTTCATGAAGTTTAATTTATCCATTTATTTATTTTGCCTCATGCTTTTGGTATCCTAAGATGGTTTTGTGTAACTGAAAGTTACAAAGGTTTACTCCTATATTTTGTTCTTAGAGTTTTATAATTTTATTGCTTACATTTAAGAATTTGACCCATTTTGAATTAATTTTTCTGTATATTGAGGAAAGGGTCCAGCTTTATTCTTTTGCATGTGTTTATCTAATTGCTCTAGTACAACCATTGGTTGAAAAGATTATTCTTTCGCTGTTGAATTGTTTTGGCACTCAGAATTATCTTTGCAAAATAATACCTTTCCCTTTATTTCCTTAAAAATCTCTAGTGTAACTAAAATAAGAAATGAAATTCTTAATTAGGATTTTTATCATGGGTTGTATGATCTAGACTCTGCCTGTCTATCCAACACCTTCTGTACTTCTTATACCTTCTCATTCTAAGGAACATTATCTCTTTCTTTCTCTCTCTCTCTCTCTCTCTCTGTTATTGTTG